GTGTCAATGACATATATATATATGCATACATATTTATAAGCCCAGTTTTTCAACTCATCTCTATTTTTTCTTTTATTAAACTGCATACTCTATTTTAGATTTATTCGCAATATAAAGCTAAAACAACTGAAAAAAGACCCAACAGAATCCACAAGAAGTCTGGCTTGCAGGCTTGTGAAATCCAATGCTGACAAGAATTAGCCACCAGAAGTTAATCCATTTTAATCCATTTCCCAGGTCATTCCTATAGTTGAGTGACTACATCCAATATCACCAGCATGCCTGTTTGGCAGGGTTCAATAGGTATTGTCATTCCCCACAACAACCAGATAACTAGTGCCTCTCCACTTTCCATGTGTCACACAAAGATTCCAGAGTTACGGTAAGACACACACAGCCACTTAAATTTGTGTTAGAGCTGCATTTCACTTCAACTGTGGCAGAACTAGGCCCTTCAAGGGTGGAACCTGATGGTCTTGGAGGTCTTTTCCAGCCTTAATGATTCTATGATTCAAGACAGTAGGCACTGTTTTGTCTACCTCTCCTCCGAGTGTTGACTACAGTCTTCCCAATTAAGCTCTGTAAACTAGAAATTGTCAGATGCACAACCAGAGTTTCGGCAACAATATGCTATCATGTAACCACAGTGATATTAGTTTTTATACTGCTAATTAAGATATGAAGCAGTATATTTGCATTAATTTTAGCAATATGCTAAAAGATGTTTAAAACACAATCTTGACCCAATTATTGTCTCAAGATAAGGACAGGTCAAGCATTGTCCCCTGTGTCTGAAACTGCACTTGAAACGTGCATCGTTGCTCTAAGGACAGCACTACCCAAAAAGTTAAAGGTTTTGAGTTTTGTTTGGTGCTTTTGGGGTTGGAGTTTTTTGTGTTTGGGATTTTTTTTAAGGTAATTAAATTTCTCAAAGGTAAGCAATACTCTGAAGTAGCTGTATGAATACAGATGTACACAGAACCCTAATTTTCCTCAGTTCACTGCAAGTCTTATTCACCTGAAACTGTTACACTAAACTTGTTATGTGAAACAAGCTTTTCATTCTTTTCTTGTCCATCCTTCTCAGACACTGGAAAGAAGCACAGCCATTTATCTTCCCTTTCTCATGAATGGCAGGGCCACAACATTCTGTCTTCCTTTTCTTCTTTTAAGCCTTTCCTTGATAAACAATCCCAAAAGGAACTACAACTGCCTCAGCAGTCACCTATGACACAGGATGACAGAGACATAGTACTAAGTGGCAGTGCTGCAGCAAGAATCCTAACACATTTCTTAACAGATAGAGGCAAAGGTGAAACACAAATTTGGAAAATCTGATAGGAGTTGTCTGTTAGCCTGATGCAACCTTCTGCAAATCACACCTCATGCCTCAGCTTCCAATTTATAAAATAGGATAGAGATTTCCTTCTCCCACTATTGAAATTGCTTCTAATGTGTTACATTTATCAGACTTACTGTGAAATGAACTTTCCTTACAACAGACATAAATAAGCAAATAAATCAAGACATGAATCCTAATTAAATTAATACTAGTGGTCAACTCAACAATTTTGTAACAGATGTCAAATTTCGATGGAGTTTGACTTGTGCAGCTCATCCTGCCTTCCACTGGTAAAAAGTCAAGCAGCTGCTCACATAAAGAAGAACAAAGAAAGGATTAAAGGATAGCAGCAGCAAGATGTTAAACACTTTAGAGCCAAGCCAGAGGAATGAGGCAACTTATACATTTTATGGATCCATAAAGGAAACAGAATGAAGGGAAGGAAAGTTCAGAAGTTTATTGAACAAACATTTTTACAGTGCTTTCAGCTTGCAGCAGTGGCCTCGTTAGAACTCCTGGCACCTCTGATTTCACTAGAAGTGGCCAGCACAGTCCATCCCCAGATGGACTGGTTAGTCAACTATGGTTCAATGAGCAAGGCTCTCACTCACCATCACTGCACAATGAGCACACTGTCACCTGGAGAAGCACTTCCTCTTTCATATCTAACTGTACACACAAATACCACATAAATAGTATTTCAACAGACAAAATTTAATTCTAAAATAAAGTCACTTTGTGGCACTAAAATTGCTTTAGAAACTTTTTTTCTCCTAATGGACTCGTCTACTACTGTCAGTGAAAAAGATGCCAAAATACTCATTACACAGCACCTATCCTGCTCTCCTTTGTTCCTCTACCATGCCAACTGATTTGTGCAGCTTACTTTAGATATCATCTTTGAAAGACAATTTCTGCCTTGAATTACTAGTGCCTTGTGAATTGATTACATTTTCTTTCACATCAGCTCATCTGTGACTCTAGAATGAAAACATGAAGACACTTTGGAATCAGTGACTTTAACCCATATTAAACACAGCTAGATAAATAGCCAAAGTATGGCTTCTAAAGCAAGACTAAAAATAACTTGTCTGAAACTGAAAGGTTCCCCTCCACTTACACATTTACATAAGGAGCCACAAAAAAAGCCTCACCCTTCTAAAGTAAAAGGAGAAGTTCACTTCCTAGTACAAAAGATTAACATGGCCTTGAGTGTTTACATTTTTCAGCACCAAAACTCCATACTGGTTAAGTGGTGCTTTTATGTTTTCACTAAAACAGCTGATAGAAACCTAGTAAGGTTTCAGTGGTAAGGACTGGATTTCTTAGAAGTTTATTTTGTATGAAATTTTACAAAAGTAGAGTGGCCATGTCAATCTGATGATGAGCAAGTAGGTTTATAGGGAGATAGAATTTCATGAAAATTAGTAGATAGAGCTAAAAACCCTGTTTTCAAGCACACAAATCCTCCTGCAAATCATGTACGTTACAAGAGCTACAAAGACATTCTGTATTTTGAAAACAGCAACATAATGATTCAGGAACCGCAGTCAGTCAGGTACTAAAAGATACAACCAGCATCTCCTGCATTTCAAAGACAGACACCATGATCCTGTAGCCTAATCAGAGGTTCAAATTTCCTCTTCTTGGTTGATTTCTGCGTTTGGTTTTTCTTTGGCTGTTTGTTTGTTTTTTCATCTCTTTATATAGAAACATAATATTAGGAACACTGAATGTGGTGGAAAAAAAACCCACAGTCTTGACCACTGAGTTTGATAAATGGGTAGATAAACAGCATGACTGAACCTCGAAGCCATGCTACCATGCCATTAAACAAAGGAGCAGAACCCAAAGGGAAGATTAGAAGGCATCTCCTCTATCTGATTGTATCTCTGTAATAGGTACTGTTGTTTCAGCAATAAAGTTCCAACTTTCAGTGCAAGCATCCTAACTAGGCAGTGGAGGTAGCTGGGCTGAAAGACAGCTCACTCCTACAAATCACAGGTAAAGTCATCCAAGGTGCTCAAATCCAGGAAGAGATTTCAAGACTATTAAGAGCTGGAGAAGATACCAAAATTCAAGACAATATTTTGCCTCTCTAACTAAAGGCAGCAAAAATTGGTGGCTGCAGACAGTTCCTAAGTTATTCCTAATATATATATATATATATATATATATATATAACTGATATAAAACATACAGAGTTTCAGCTCTTTTTTAAACATCACTCCTAGAGCCATAAAACTACCATAGTAATACCACCACATCTCACCCCTTCCTCTCCAAGACACTGAATATAGCTCGAATCTTGTTATTGTGAACTCTTGAAGCTTTCTGTTCTGAATTAGAATAAGTTCTACTCTTCAAGGCAACATTAGTTAAAATAGAAAGTTTATGTCCACTGATTGATCACAGTCATTCTTCGACAATTCCTTACCTATATATGCTGCTGTCTTCTGAAAACCATGCAGAACAGAGATTGAAGTAACACAGTCCGATGACACTACGCTACAACTTCTGCAACAAGTCTTTTACATAATGCACTAACTCATGTAACTCACTTCGCAACACTGAAAAAGTTCTCAGACACAGAACCAGAGTTCAAGAGACTCCAGTTCTGTTCCAGTCATTATATGTCACCCTGGACTTAAGTTTTCTGTAACTACATGGAATGCCAGAGACAACAAATTAACACATTCTCATTGCTACTACCACAAAATTACCTTGCAATGCATGCTGTCTCGGCAAGAACCAGCTATTTACAATGAATGTACACTACAAGACGGCCTACAAGAAATTTCTGCAGTGCATATCTGTATTTCCAGAGAGCTATAAAGCAGCAAGCTATGCTATTTCTCATTAAATGAAAGTAACGTTTCTAGTTAGTGCAACTAAGGCACTTATGCTGTGAATTCACGACCTCGGAACAGTGCCCCACTGTTCTTCTGACCAGGCCAGGCTCTAGTGTTATTGGAGAAATCACTGTAGCCAGATGGTAGCACTTAATTTTTCTGTGACCTGTTAGAGATTCTCAAGACTTTATAAGTGTGCTAAGAAACCTTCACATTACCTTTTATGAAACCTGCCGGCCAGCGTGAACAGTGAAGAGTTTCAGACCAGGTAACCCCAAGCAGCGCCGTCCCACTGCCAGCTCTGACAGGACGTGCGCCCCCCGCCCTTTGACACAGGGTGCCAAGCCTCCCAGTTCCCCAAACGCTGCCTATCTGCTCGCCCGTCGCTCCACGTTCTTCCCAGTCCGTGAGACTCCCCCCTCTCCGCCTCGGACGGGGCCCGGACCAGCCGGGCAGAGCGGCGGGCCCGGCGCTGCGGGGCCGGGGCGCTGCTCGGCAGAAGCGCGAGGGCGGCTCTGCCCCGCGGCGCGAAGGCGCGCAGGCCGGGCCCCTGCCCGGAAAGGCGGAAGCGGCGCCCGGCGGCGCAGGACCGAGACCGACCCTCCCCGCTCACCTGCCCCGGCGGGGAGGCCTCGCCGCAGAGCGCGGGGCTCCAGGGGCCGAGGCGGCCGCTCCCGCAGCCTCCGGCCGCCCCTCATCCAGAGCCGGGCGCGCGCCGCTCCGCCGCCGCCTCGCGCGCCGCCATCTCGGCCCCGTCACCCGGGAGACGCTCCCGCCCCTTCCGGCCGCGCCGCTCCTCTCGGTCCCGATCCCGCAGCACGGCCGGGCCGCGCTGCCCCCGGCGGCCTCACCACGCCCGCCTCTCCCCCGCGGCTCGGCACAGCGGCCGCCGGGCCACGGGGGAGTCCCACCGGGGTCTTTGTCCCTTGGAGGAACTGCGATCAAAAAACATTGTGCTTTAGCGGACTCAAGGTGCTGCACACGTGGCAGTAAAGGTTCCCGTGTGGTCGTCGGGATACTGAGCTGTAAATCTGGTTGCTACTAAAAACCAAACGCCGCTGACAGGTGCGGCCTCAGTGTCCCAGTTTGTTCACCGAGGTGATTCGAGAAGTGCTTGTCCGTGTTAAGTGATCTAACGGGCTGGTTAAGTGATCTAACCTAAGATTTTCCAGACCTCTCTAAGTCTCCGCTTCTGTTTCATTCAGTACATGGGGTAAAGGGAGGTTTTGTCCCCTTCTCACAGGGAAACCTAGTCAATTCTGGGGCAGCACTAATATAATTTCCCTTCAACTCCAAGCCATGATGCCCAGCTCTCTTTGCACTGTTTAAGCATCTTCCCTTAAACCCTTCCTCTTCTGCTTGTACAGTCAGCCAGCCTGCTGCTGTTCTCTGTACCGTGGCTTCTGGCAGTGAGGAGATGGGTGATAGGGGGATGGCTCTTGTGAGAAGGCACTGGTATCATAGAGTCCCATGTCCTGACAGACACTGTGACTGCATTTCCCCATCAGGAAACAGGCCCCAAAGGGACAAGGAGCCAAGCATGATATGGCTGGCTGTGGGGCAAAGACCTCGTCAGCCAGGATGGGGGCAGGGCAGTCTGGAGGCTGCTCAGAGTCCAGCCTGCAGGGCAGGATTCTGGTGATGAGCAGATCTGAGGACGAGCCAAGAGTCAGTGTGCTGGTCCAAGATCAATGGAGTCCCTAGCGAGTCAGTGTTACTCGTGGGATTGAAACGCTTACGCCTGCAGAACCTGCCTTCAATAAGAGAAACTCTGGTTTTAAGACCATTTCAAAAGCATTTGTGTAGCAGAGTTATACCTCTCAGTATAGCTTTCTTTCTAAAGCCAAAACTGGAAAATAATCTTCATCTGCAGTCACACAGAAAAGCAAAACTGCTAGCATGACACAGTGGGAAAGGTTAGGTTATGACAATAGCCAGTTCCATTTCTTTTGGGAATGCATTCAGGTTGTGTCATTACTGTCTATATACTCAAAAGGGAATATGACACAGTGAGAAGAAAGTATTTTAACATATGCACATAAACACCCACACTTAATATAAAAACTGCCAGAGTGGTTCACCCACACCATCCTCCCAAGTACACAACAGACCTATGTGTGGCTGTTGCATCAATGAAAAAAACCTGGAAATTGGCAGACCACTAATGAAAAATAACTACCTTCTTAAAAACATAATTATGCAATTTCAAAATGAGTAATAATATAAACATAATTTATAAAAGAAATGTTCACAGGAATAAATACTTCTTTGTTTAAAAATTTCATTAACCCTCAGCTCTGAAGTTTTAAACTTGGATTCCTTTGGATCAGTTAATTTTCCTAAAGAGATCCTCTGAAATCTTAGATATTTCATCGCCACATCAAATGCAGTTCTGCTACAGTAAACTAATCAAACTTTTGAGGGAACTATTCTTTTTAAATTAATGCTTTTGTTTTACAGATATTAAGGCATAAACATATTAAACCACATTATCTGACAATTTGCAAGTTTGTTAGCGTCACTTCTTTTATATCTAAAGCAATTTTCATCATTTCAGAGGCTGATGGTTCCATCATCCTGATACATTCATGTTTCTATTTAATAACCTCATTCTGTCTGTAAAAGGGATACATTCTCTTTCAATATGAATTCTCCCTCCTACGGGATATGCACTTCATTTACTTGTGTGCTCTCTCGCTGTTAAGTCTTTTATTAAAGCTACAAATAGTTTTTTAACTAAGGGTACCTTTCCTCAATTACAGTCCTGTTGAATTGTGTAGTAACTCAAGTTTCACATTTCCAGAAGACATTTTACCTTTAACAACTGTTTGATTCTGGCCAAAGTAGGATTTTCTTAGTTCTAATCACAGAAAAATTACAGGTTCTTACTACAAAATTCAGAAGTAATTTTCTATACAGCTGGTACAAATTCGTATTCTGCTCTTTGAATGTTGTCATGTTGAAATTCTAGATGAGAAGAGGCAGTTCTACTGTTAGATACATTTTCCATTCCTTTGTAGTATTTCTAAGCACCTATTTTGGGTAATATCTAAGCACTCTCCAAAGAGTTCGACTAAGTCTAGGCAAGTACGTATCCTAGCCTGTAGAAAATATGACCCCTTTCCCAAGTAAGTAGTCAAGTATTCATGAAAGCCTCTTTTCTCTCTAAAGGTCTTCCTGGCTGAATCTCTACTCTCTGCTGCGTCTGCCAGCATACCTTAAATTCCTTCCCTTATTCCCACTAAACCTTGATGTGCCTTGTAGGGGAAATTTCCAGGCCAATGATCTTGGTGAGAGGCCTTTGTAGGAAAAATCAACCAACTGACTCTTATCAAGCATGTAATATATAAAAAATCATGTTCAAAACTGAAAAGGAGCATACCCCAAGTAGTTTTTTTGGAAGCAGTGGCCAAGAGAGCCCAAAGAGCAGCAGTGACTGCCTAGATCTCCCTGAGCTCAGAGGAGACTGTGCAGCTTTCGTCCTCTGCTGGAGTGGCCAATTTTGTTGCTCCCCTGAGAATGATTCAGCATCCTGCTTCCTTTAAGCACCTCTCTGTGAAACACTGACCTTCATGCTGGAGCCCAGACAGCTGACAGGACCTTTTGTGGGGCAGAACTCCCAGTCAGCCTAGAAGAATACCCACCTCAGGTTGAAACAGGTTGGTTGGTTTGTTCAGTGCTGTAAAGAACTTGGAGGTGATGAAGAATGTGTGATTTTAACCTGATGCTGAAAAATTACCCAGGGATATTATTTGGGTCCTTCTCTCTGTTGACAACATTGGCTTCTCCTTCCTAGGGTGTTTCTGTACTTAGTGTTAGTGAGTTAATATACAGAATGCTGTGAATATGTGCCAGAACCCAGTTTTCCTTGTCCCTGCAATACTCCTCATATTTCTCAACTACAAATTAGGGAGAGGATAATGGGACCTCTTTTTTATACAGCTAATTTATCACTTCATTACTAAATAGGAAATCTTTCTTTCCATCCTGTAGTATGTAGATATTAAGTAATCTTGCTTGACTCACACACCTTTCTTGTGTTTCTTAGCAAGGAAAAAAATACGTAAGTTCAAGTTATTAGAAGCTGCATCTTAGGCATTGTGTTAGCATTTGAATTCAAATCCTCTAAATACTTGAGTATCTAGCATACAGCTTTATAAAAATAGTTATCTACATGGATATGCTTGTGTGTTCATGCCTGCATGTATATGATTTGCATTTAGGGAAAAGAGAGTGAATAGTATGGAAAGGTAAGGTTGTGAAGTTTTGTTGGCAAATGCGTTTAGGAAGGTGAAAGATTTTCTTTTTAATTTTTTTGTTGTTGTTGTTTTGTATCTTTGTTTTTTGAGGGGAGAGAATAATGAAACTGTTCTTTTTTTCTTCATACCTCAGCATTAGTTAGAAGAATTTCTACTTATTGGTAAAACATGAGTTTCTTTTATTCATGCTCTTTGCCAGATCTTATTGTCTAATTTCAAAATAATTATTCTAAAGTTAGGAAAATAACTTAATAGAAAAAAATTCTCCCTTTTCCCATTTTAAAACAAATCAATGCAGCAAAAAAGACCTATGTTATAGCCCCAAAACTTCAAAACTTGGGTTTTTATACATACACCTATGTATCAAGACTAAGTGGCCATTGGAAGTGTTGAGTTCCCAAAATCTGACTGAAATCAGTGCCAGACTCAAACAAACTTTATTGTCTCAGTAAAATTTGGATTGGAAAATCTAGATCCCAGTTTTGATGGGGGGAAAAAACCAGAAACTCGTTTTGATTATAGCTCTGTAACCTCATGTATACACAGCATAGGGGCGACAGCAATCAAAGACGAGGTATGATGAAGGGAAAGAAATACATTTTCTCCTTCATTATCAAGTTTTTCTGTTCACTGTATGATGGTGAAGAAGCATTTTAAGTTATCTTTATCATTACAGCAGTCAGTAGGCAGAAACGGGGCTTAGATCACACTCTTTCTAATCTTTATCCAACAAAGGAAGAACAATCGTCTTCTGTCCATTGACTATTTGATGAAACACCTCCTGCAAAATATATGTCAACAGGCATTTTGAAACGTGATTTGAACAACTCAAGTGTTAGCAAATTGATCCAGGATTTGGGCAGAATCTTATCTCAGAATGAAATGTGCATGAAAAAGTTAACAAACATTAGGTGTAGTTTTCCAATCCAAGTTACAAAACAAGATTTTGTAATGCTTAACTGTTACTGTCTCTTTCATTGTAGATTCCGAGGGCATTGCGTTCCACCCAGCTACACTGGTACTGAGGCCAACAACTTCTGCTTGTGTTCAGCTAGAGCAACATTTCTCCTTATGGAAAGTATTTTGGTTTTCCTTTCTCTGCTGGAAGAAACTGAGCAACTGCTGCCAGCTCCAGGGAACATGCATTGGCGAGTACTGTATTTCCAGAAAGTTCTTCCATAAAGATATGTTGTACTCAGGAAAGCACTGAAAAATGAAGGATCCACCATATTTCTTTATGGTTTGTCCTAGTAATTAAACAACTGTACTTTTAAATTTGAATCTGTCTGGCTTCTATTTCCAGCTACTCTTTATGCCATTCTCTGTTAGATTAAAGTGCCCTTTGTTTCTTTTTGTCTCCCTGAGATTATGACACATCACAACCATATTTTGTATCAGCTTTCTTTTCAATAGAGTAACATTGGGAGATTTTTAAAGCCTAACTAGCAGTGTTAGCCCTCAATAACTTCCTTTTCTCTTGCAGTATTCCTTTTTTTCCTTCTTCCTTTCAAAATTGTGAGTTGTACATTATGAGTGTCAGACTCACCAATGCAGCATGCAAAGCTAAGATCAGTGTTATCTCTGCTCATTTGTATTCAAAGATCCCATGGAAACAGGTGATTTTTTCACTATGATTTCCAGTGTAATTGCTTTCCAGGGAATCATGTTGCTTTTGCCCTGCGCACTAGATGAGAAAGCCCAGCACTACACTGACTTTGTACACAGGCACTGGATCAGAGCCAGCCAGCAGAAGAGGCCAGGTTGCTCTGCCCTTGTCAGTATTCACCCACAGGCTGTCAGATGCAGATTTTATCAGCAGCAACTTTATACCTTACCTCAGGATCAATGATTTAAAGGATGGGTCCCCCTTTCCTAGTGACTTCAACAAACAGGAATCAGCAGGGATTTATTAGAAATTTTTTATGATCTGCTACTAAGTCACTTCACTAGTCATAAGGTAAGCAAAAAGAACATTTTTAAGAATAGTACTGTTCAGGTGGAAAGCACCAGGGTAAATATGAAATACACTGAAGTGAGATTAGGCCTTTTGTCATTCCAAGCAGAATGCTGATTAACCAATTTATTACACTAAAGTGGTGAAGTATAAATTATTTATGAGGAAAGGAATTTATTTTTCCTCATCTTGAGCTCCAGTCATTACACATTTGGCTCTGCAGCCACAACTGTTTCTTTTAGAAACTGAATAGCTGAGGAAAAACAGGCCAAGTAGAACTCAACTCTTGATTTCAATTGCAAATACTTAGAAATTTAAATAAAGCCAAAGAAATACAGCAGATAGAAGGACCGGATATTTTCATTGCTCCAATAAAAACTTAATTACTAAGTAAGTTAAAGCCAAGCTCTCAAGGTGCCACTACAATTAAACATATTCCATAAGATGAGGACGTGGGCAAGGTATTGCAGAGCTGTCACCCCAAAGGACCCTCCAGAGGGAAATGAGAAGCAGCAAATATTTTGCAATGGCACTAATGGACTCTTACTGAATTTGAGCAGATTTCGGATGTACTTGTTCTCCAAGTGGTAAAGGTCCATACTGAAACATTATAGCAGTAAACAAGAATGAAGAACAATGGGGAAAAAAAGAGAGAAATAAACCCCAAAAAACCAACTGGAAAACTTGTGATGGCAAAATCACAATGATCTGTCTAAGAAGTGAATGTAAGTTTGACATGCCAGTAGAATTTCTTCTTGATGTCACTGGTTTGTAACATTTTTTGACTGGACTATGTCAATATGGAGAAGTACTCATGGGAAAATAATTATCAAACAAATCAGAATCTAACCAATTTCAGTTCATTGTGCACTTCACACCCCTCAGGGCCTAACCAAGGGAGAGGCTAAGCTAACTTTTTTCTATTGGCCTTTCATTGACAGCAGTAGAACTATTCAATTCACTGTCACATAGAATTTGGATTAATGTGCATCCAGAGCTACACCAATTTACTCTAGCTGTTATCCAACCCATTATTTCATTGTCTGTTTACAAACTGGTTTTATTTTTTTTGCAGACTTATCTACAGAAAGACTGGGCTAAATCAGCTACTAAAATGTATATACACTGGGCTGCCAGCTAAAAGAAGTATGTGCCCACAGCCAAGGTAATTCAGTTCTGAGTTGTCACTTCTTGGCTATCTAGTTCTGTGTGCTGTCTGCCTCTGTAAGGAACCAATGTATTTAGTGACACTGAAAATGCTGAAATTTTGAAGAAAAATCAATTAATGCATCTATCATCTATATGCTACAGGTATGGAACCTTTAACAACACAGATCATCTTATTTTTCAGTGTGTGGAAAAAAAAAACCTCATCAGGACAATGTTCTGACTGACTCCTGAACGTTACTGTTTTCAACACTCAACCAAATGAGTAGAAACTGAGGCTCTGTAGAGAACAGTTTGCAGAACAAGCTACCCTATGCATCTGAGAATAAACCTACAGGTAAAAAGAAACCATCTCCCATTGCTGATATCACTCCCAATCTGACTTCATTCTTAGAAGATCCATCAAGATACCTCTGACCAGCACAGTCCAGTGTAATTTGGGTCTGCACATGTTGTCTGACGTTTTTTGCCTACCTGCTGAATGGAGGCTGCACTGGTGTTATTGACAGAACTCATGTGGGGAACACACGGCATTGGGCTGCTTGTATCAGAGAGCAGCCAGTGTTACCTGAGACAGGAGCCACTGGTGTATCTCTGGAAGGCAGTCACTCTCTCCCGTTCCTTCTGGGTCTCTGAAAGCTTTTGCATTTAAAGCCACTCTGAGCAGAACTTTACAGCTTATTTTTGGAAGCAAGTGAAAGAGCTATTTGTCAAACCTTTAACTTCAGATTGGTCAGCACAATTTTCTGAAAATTTATACAGCGTTCAGTCTTCATTCTGTGCCAAGTATGAGTTGCCTGCAGAGAACTACACTGCACTTACAGCAATTGCACTTGAACTGTCATGTTCTAGGTGGAATCTCAAATGTTTACTAATCAGACAACAAGCCTTCCACAGTTCACTGTATGAATACCTTAAATCTCAGCCTCTCCCACCACAGTGAAGGAAATCAAGTGGAAACTCTGAAGCAAGTTGCTGTGTGTCCATGACATGCTGCAGCCATTCATCAAGCAAAGACTTTTAAAATCCTATGCAATATATTACATCACCAAAGGCCTCTAAGAACAAGAATACAGATGGTATTTTATAGCTCTGACATATATAAAACACACTCAGCTAGCATATATTTTGCTAGATCATGTGAAGAAACATTCTGTACTCCATCAATTACTAGTATTGGGTAAATCAAGTGTAGAATGAAGAACTCAGAAAAAAATTACATATATGCAATTCAGACAGAACACACTTGTAGCAAATGAAGTTGCGGTCAAAAACTGAATTAACATACTGTGCTGGTTTTGGCTGGGATAGTAGCTATTATGGGGCTGTGTTTTGGATTTGTGCTGAAAACAGTGTTAATATAGGGGTGTTTTTGTTATCCCTGAGCAGAGCTTACACAAAGCCAAGGCCTTTTCTTCTTCTCACCCCACCCCACCAGCAAGGGGGCTGGGGGTGCACAAGGAGCTGGCAGGGGACACAGCTGAGACAGCTGAACCCAACTGCCCACAGGAACATCCCAGATCATATGATGACAAGCTCAACACATTAAGCTGGGGGAAGAAGGAAGGGGGGGATGTTTGGAGTGATGGCATTTGTCTTCCAGAATAACTTAGGAGCCCCACATTCCTGGAGATGGCTGAACACCCGACTGCCAATGGGAAGTCGTGAATTAATTCCTTGTTTTGCTTTGTTTGTGTGCATGGCTTTTGCCTTACCTGTTTAAGTGTCTTTATCTCAATCCATGGGTGTTCTCACTTACTCTTCTGATTCTTTGCCCCATCCCACCAAGGGGGGAGTGAGCAAGCAGTTGTGTGGGGCTGAGTTGCCAGCTGGGGTTAATCCATGACACATAACTGAATGCAAAAAAACTTTTTCAAAAACAATGTGGACCTTTAAGTGGAAGAAAGAACTTTCTTATATCTAACACCCACCATTATTTATCAGCATGGAGACAGTGACATGCAGCAAGGATGCTCAAACTGACATGAAGACAGATTTAAAACAATACAGCCTAGGTTGTCAGGAGGAATATCTTCAGCACATCGCTGATCCTGGCTCCTGTGATATTACAGTTTTGAGTAGACAAAAGGTATTCATGACCAATTACATCCTGTCCTATTGATGTTGATATTGCCCTGGTTACACAGACTCCTGTCTAGTGCCAAATTTCACCTTTGGCTGTTGCCAGACTCTTCTCTCCCGGCTATTCCCCAGTTTGAGCAGACTGTAACACTCTCAGCCTGGCACGGACATCCTGCCGCTGCTGTTTCGCCCCAGCCCAGTGCAGGTGATGCTCTCGGCTTAGCACCGCTCGCCTCCAGCGCGGGCAGCACACACTTGGCTCCGTACCACAGCAGTTTTTGTTCTCTCCGAAAGCCGCGGGACTGGGAGGGATTGGGAGAGCGGAGGGGGAGCAGCCGCCGCCCTCCCCGTGAGTGGGGCGCGGGTGCCCCCGAGCGGCTCCTCGGCTGGGACTCACAGCGGCTACGGGACGGGCACAGCCCACTGCCACAGGAATGGCTTTCTAAATGGCAGGTTTTAGAGTATTCTAGTTAGGAGCATGAATATTTATGTTGGGTCAATTATTTTTTCACAGTAGCCACTGAGACACAACAGTATCCAATTCCTCATTCAGTTTCTGCTTATACTTCTCCTCCACTTCATAGTCAATCAAACACCTCAAAGAATTTAAAATCTATCACATTAAGAGACTTATGCTGGCAAATTACTGAATTATACTTCAATTTCAGAAGGCCCCAAAGATCTAATAAATAAAAGTTACCAGTAATATGGGCAATGCTAGAAAATTGTAGTTATTGTGGATTAGAATACTGACTCTTTAATTAAAGTAAACGTGAAAAGAAGAGCATTATTGATGCAAGATAAAACTGCCTTTTTTCTTTTTAAGAATTTAACCTCTTATGAATTTCTGAGTAAATATTTGTAACACAAGTCAGAGCCTTCAAACAACTCCTTCTCTAGAAAAATGTTACCGAGAGGCACACCACCACCACTTCCATGTAGTCTTAACTTCTTCATCAGAAAGTATATGCTCAGTAGTATGTCATATTCCATTTCCCACAATTTTTACCCCCTTTCACATTCGTGGTCACCATACTTGTTAACTGCGCTTCTTTTTTGAAAATCTGAGCAAGGTTTCACAAATGTATAAAATTACAGATTGTTAAAAGCTGGAACAGGTGACACCGTATTACAGTGCACTCATAGAGAGAAGAGCCTTAGAGCCATGAGTCCACAAAATTTTTTATTAAAATAACACCAAGTTTAAGAAATCAATGCAGTGCAAAGAAATTTCAATTTGTCATACAAAAAAAATTAATGGTTTTCCATCCTTAAGTATGTAAACTGCATTCCAATCCTGACGCAACTGATGCAATACAGAAACAGAAACATTGTAAAGCAGATGAAGGTCAAAGTTAAAGACTGGCATGCTGAGCAAGGAAGGTTCTTATTCTTTGCAAGAGTTCTTTCTTTACACTGTCTGGTACCAACGCTGAAACACAAATAAGAAGGCAAAAAGTCAAAAAGACAAAACAAAACATGTGCCAATACTGAACTCTCATAACAGTGACATCGATCCTTTTTTTGTTCTCACAGTTCTGTTAATACATTGAGTAACTGAAACTACTTGATTTTCACATAACACATCTCTATTTTTCCCATTAAAATAGGCTAAAATTGAGGTCTATTGAGAACACTGTTGTTACTGGTAGGTTTTTTTGCCTAGTCATAGTCCAGAAAATAGGAAAGTTTGAGGGAAAGGATTATTGAATAGTAAACAGGATATAATCACCACAACAAGTGTGATTATCCCACCTTTTTTCTTCACAAATTTAAAACCAAAACAGAGTAAAGGTCTCCAGCAAGTTATTTTGAAAGCCTATTTTTACTTAAAACTAAATGATGTTTCTCCCACTAACATCAAAGTTTATTAGGGAGCCCAAGAGGAACAATATAAAGACAAGTGATTCCACTTTTTCCTCTATCTGTATGTTGTGTCCTTTACTCTTCCCATTCCCATTACATTAAAGCTGTTAGTCCAGATTTCCCATCTCAAAGGATCATGAATTTTAAAACATCTGTGCTGCACACTCCAACTTTTCTTGGGACCATTAAGTCAATTATAAAGATGAATACAGACATGACTAAATAATGTAACCTGCAAAGTAGTCTACACACACAGCTCATTACAGATTTTGAATGACTTGTTACACAATACATATTCATATGTTTTATTTGTTGTTAAAATTAGGCTACTAACATTTTTCCTTGAATCCAACACAGGCAAGTTCATAATGTTGCTTTCAAAACATTAATGAAATAGAGGCATGTATGTTTATCGATGTAGTACCACATCCATGTATACATTTTCTTACCTCTGCCTTTGGGAGTGATTTCTGCCACCAAATCATCAACAGTAACATGTTCTAATCCTTTCTCTTTAATGACATCTGGGAAGACCAAGACCAATATTTTAAGTCTTTTAATCCATTCATTAGAAGACAAAACCTGTGCCAGCGATTAGAATACAAAACCTGCATGCATACGTCATCAGAGAATATGAAGTAGCAAATTACCTAAATGTAGGTTATTAACTCAGTACCTACTGCATTTTACAGTGGATTAGTCTCTCACTCATGCCACAGGTTTAAGGATGGGAACTTGTCTCTTCTGATGCATCTTGTTCAGCTCATATTTTAAAAGCAAACATTACAAAGTTTTATCTCATCTGAGCATTACCAGATGTGCCTGTTACTGGAGTGTTGTAGCACAAGCTGGCTGCTTATCTCTTAGAACACACTATTTACATAACAGCGAGAAAAATGCAACTGGAAAAAGACTTTGGAACATACAAAAAGGGAGAGCACGGACAGTAAATCCTTACTATTCTTCCTGTCTTGTTTAAACAACATGTCTCTATATATTTCAGCAAAGTCAAAAAGTATCTCTGGAAGAAAGGATTACAACTATAGCAAAATAAATGTGATGATTAAGATATAGTGTACGATTTTTAAACAATTGTCTACTTATAGTGCCTTACACTCTACTGAAGAATGCAGAAGTCAAAGCTGAGAAGTAATCTCAATTCAGTAGCATGAACCTAAAATATTATTTAAACATACATGTTTTTAACTGTATGTCAGTACATAGGATTGTTTATCCCCAAGACACTAAATGTTTTCTAACTGACATCACATGAACTATTTGTAAACTGCTTTTTTTGGCTGAATTCCCTGAAATTAATCCTGGATTGCTCAATTATTGGTCATAATCCATAATGGCAAGAAGCTCTAGAACAAGCTAAAAAAAACAAACAAAAAAACCCCAAAACAACCTCCCCAATAACAGAATGTTTAAGGTTGGAAGGGACCACAGTGGGTCATCTGGTCCAGCCCCCCTGCTCAAGCAGGGCCATACTAGAGCACATAGCTCAGGATTGTGTTCAGACGGTTCTTGAGTGTCTCCAGTAAGGGAGACTCCACAACCTCTCTGGGCAATCTGTTCCAGTGCACAGTCATCTGCACAGGAAAGAAGTTCTTCCTTGTGTTCAGGTGGAACTTCCTGTGCCCCAGTTTCTGCCCACTGCCTCTTGTCCTATTGCTTGGCATCACCTAGAAAAACCTGGCTCCATCCTCTTGAGACTGTCCCTTCAGATACTTATAAATATTGATGAGGTCCCCTCTGAGTTATCTCTTCTCGAGGCTGAACAGGCCCAGCTCACTCAGCCTTTCCTCATGAGAGAGATGCTCCAATCCCTTAATCATCTTTGTCACCCTCTGCTGGACCCACTCCAGCAGCTCCATGTCTCTCTGTCCTTTCTTTTGGAGGTTATTAGGCTCTTAAAGCAGACAAATTAACTTATATTTTTCCAGTCTCAGCAGCTGCAGTTACATTTTAAAGTAAATGCAAATATAAGCCAAAATAATTTTACATTTCTTTACTATAGCAGAGTGTAAAGCATATAGCTGAGAAGGCAAATAAACATCTCTTTCATTATCTGTACTATTGAAATGGATAATCTCTGGCAGTGGCATCAGCCAGAGGACTGCAAGCATGAATAATTTCAGCCTTCTCTGCTGAACCTACGAAAACAATTTAACACACCCACCCCTACAGAAAAAAAAAAACAACTTTGTAATGGAATATTGAGTTTCCAGGCACAATAGACCAAATCAGAATTAAAGTGAAATCTCAAGGGATTTCTTATTTGCTTTAAGGAAATTTCATCCCATGGTAATATTCCTGGATGCTTAAATAGTATTTATAACAGTTTCATATGATTTACAAATCAGTAAATTGTAGTAATGCTAAACACTTAACTCAAAACTGAAGATTTTTGGTATTTAGAAGTTCATCTGCTTGTTTTCCCTCCTCTAAGCAGATCCCCTTATTCTCAAGAATTGTATTCAGAAAGAGTCCAAATGCACTTATTTCTATCCCATGTGTGGACAAAGTTCTGTAAGTTGCAAGTTCTGTAAGTTCAGAGTTTCTAAGCTGCAAACCACTGTATTTGCTCAATTCTCCTTTATCTTGTTTTTTATTCTCCTGTAGTAATGAAGTCATCTCTCTCAAAACAAAAAGCTGTATCATCATGAATATTTAGGGAATCAATTTCTACCCTTTTCTCAGAAGCTTAATAAGGTTCAGATCAGAGTTCTTCCAAGATTTTTTTTG